ATATATATTTATAGTATATATTCCTTTCCTTTCCCCGAATCTCGACCAATCGAATCGATTTTTTCTCGTCGATCGATGTACAGGATTTATACTATATAAGTCGAATTTTAATACACGTGTGTATATATATATTTATAGTGTATACTCCTTTCCTTTCCCCGAATCTCGACCAATCGAATCGATTTTTTCTCGTCGATCGATGTACAGGATTTATACTATATAGGTCGAATTCTAATATGTGTGTATATGTATATATATAGTATATGTAGTATATGTAATCACATGTCACCCCCCTCCTTGTATGGTTCGAGTTCGAGTTGGATGTATAGGTACGTATATATATACAGTTACAAGAAACAAGGGATGAGGCGGCGAAGGGAAAGAAAGAAGACCGCTATGATTTATTACCAGCCGCAAATTCTGTTTCTCCTTGGTGCGCGCCAACTGCGTTTGCGTTCATCCATCTTTTTCCCTTTCACGGCTCACCGAGCAACTTTTCCCCACCTCCCCACCTCCCCTGCCCCTTCCTTCAACCCCCTTTGTTCCGCACCATCTCTCAAAGTGACTGACTGCCTCCTTTATTATCCGCTTGTCAGCATTTTTACACTTTTATCCACCGTTCTCTAGTATCTATTGTCCCCGGGGCGAATTCGTTTGGTCACAATACGTCACGAACAACGATCATCCTCCGGTATTACCAAAGTATCGTCGAATCTCGTTTCAGAATAGCGGTGACGTTTGAAAAGCTATTGCGGTTTAATGTCCGATTCGAATAGGACGCCATGGATCGTGTAAATTATATACACTCTTATAACACTCTCCGGCGTTTCTTCCACCTTCTTCCTCCGAAGATTTGGGACAGCTGTCCTTTCGCTTTCCTTTTCCCGATGTATACGTGTGTATACTCGTTTACGTATGTATGCGTCCGTTTTCGAAAATTTCGTTTTAACGATGTTAAAATGTGGAATGAATAAGCAAAAAACCTTTAGATTTAAACAACGCAATATATCTTTCCGCGAAAAGCGGAAAGCGTCTGATTCATCGACACGCCTCGTTCTATTCTCCAAGCGTTCGTGAAATATGACTACAAATTACCTCTACTTATTTACGATTTGTCGTTGACTACTCGACGATTTTACAATCGTAACGATCGTAAAAAGTTATTATCGTGTTCCGAGAAACCTTTCCGACCTTTCAAACGTTGTAAGTGTTAAAATAATTCGGGGGAATGATTCGATTTGTAATCAAAATTGGGATACGAGTAACGTTGTAAAATAATCGCGATCGTATCGTATATAATCCGTTTCGACACATCCGCTACCCTCGTTACCCTTTGTCGCGTTATTATCCTTGCACCTCGCTTATCGCGCGACAAGACCGTGTATGATTTACTTGCCTTACTCGTGGTGCGTGAATAAAGAGACGGAACGATAATTTATTCGCGAACGAAGGAAAAGGAAGAAGAAAGATCGGAAAAAATTATACGTACGAGTATATTTCATACGGTACGAGAAATTTTACGATAAATATACACTTGTTATATATTTTGAAAGGAATATAGGAGCGTAACAAGGAGCATGCTTCGAGCCCCTCTCTTCTTCCTTTTCTTCCTTTTCTTCCTTTTTGTTTTCATCATCATTGTTATTTGTCTAAAATATCATCGGGGTCATAAATAAAATTTCACGTTGGTCATACTCGGCATTATTCGATTTTTCTTTTCCTTTTTTTTTTTTTTTTTTTTTTTTTTTTTTTTTTT